ACAGAGGGTTCTGTTTTTAAGGCGTAACACACAACTACTTCTTTTTTAAATGAAACACCCGTATATCTTTACTTACCTTTGCCTTTTTCTTAGCCTTTACAACGAATTGAAATTTCGATGCTACGTTGCCACGTTATTCCAATTTTCTTCAAATTTTTTGGGAATGAAAGGGTTCACAAAAAAATTACGATAGGCTTCTTTTTAAAATCTGTCTTTCAATATTTTATGGAAAGATAAACAAAGATACGCGCTGTGTTGTGGTATCAAATAAATCAAATTTTAATATACAGAGTGTTTATAAAAATCTAAAACTTTACAATTTTCAAAAATCGATATTTCAGTTTAGTTTTTTTCAAAATGGAACACCCTGTATTTTATTATTGTATCTTACTCCATTTTTGGTCCTCATTTTTTCAGTATGGCGATGTGTCTTTACAAACAAATAAAAATTCGCAGAAACTATCAACTTTAAGTATAGGAAATACCTAGCAAAAAATAAAATAAGATGGGGTAATAAATTATAGGCTGTTCTATTTGAAAAAACTGAAATATCGGTATTTGAAAATTGTAATAATTAAAACATTTTTTACAAACACTCTGTATACGAAAATTTAATCTAAATTATACCACAACAGAAGGCGTATCTTTCTTTATGTCTTTACAAAATGTTGTTACACAGAATTTAGATAGAACCCTACTGTGTTTTTTTTTGTGAACCTTTTCATTGCCAAAAAATTTAAAAAAAATTGGAATAACGCGGCAGCGTCACATCGTAATTTCAAAAATTAACTGTTGTTGTAAAGCATAAAAGGAGGTCAAACAAAATGTGAAAAGGTATATAGGAAATTGCTCTATTGGAATTGAACAATATCCAAGATAAAATGAAAATAATGGAAAACAAAAGTAAATTAAAAAACAGACATGACGAACCAATTTACATAAATGATGACATGACAAAGGAAGAAAGAATAATACAAAAGGAACTTAGAAGAATAGCACAACTAGAAAGGAATAAGGAAAAAAATGGGATTGATACAGACAAAAACAAAGAATTAAAAAACTACTCAAGGCGAAAAAAAAATGGAACGAACGAAGACGACGTGGCGAGATAAAGGGACACGAAATGGAAAAATAAGAAAAAAGCAGCAGGAAAGGAGAATAAAGGTGATAGAACAATAATTAAATTGGGAACAGGGAACGTAAGAGGCACTTACGAAGAAGGAGCCCTGAGAAATCTGACAGGCATAATGGAAAAGTATCGGCTGGACATATTAGCCCTGCAAGAAACAAAGCAGCAAGGAAATGAAGTTATGGAGATAAGAAAAAACGTAAGGATGAAGACGACGGTGATCGACTTCAAATCAATATCGGACAGAATATGTTACATAAGAATTCGAGGAAAATATAAAAAAAATAAACATCATAAATGGACATGCACCTACGGAAGAGAAAAGCATAGAAATAAAAAATTAATTTTATGAAACGATTGCAGATATAATAAGAAAAATTCCAAAATATGACAAAAATATTTACCAGGAACACAAATGCAAAAGTAGGAAGAGAAGAAGAAGACTTCCGGCATATCACCGGAGGAAAAAGTTTACACAAAGAAAGCAACGAAAATGGAAAAATGCTTATAGAGTTTGCTGAAGAAAATAAAATGAAAATAATAAGCACTCATTTTGACCATAAAAATATACATAAAGAAACATGGACCTCCTCGAACAACAAGACAAAGAACCAAATAGACCATGTGCTAGTAGAAAATAGAGACCATATGGTGATTTACGATTGCAGGAGCTTTAGGGGAGCAGATGCTAACAGTGACCATACACTAGTTATAGCAAAAATAAAAGAAAAACTACCAACCAATAGAAAACCAAAAAAAAGAAAGAAAAAGAGTCACTGTTGAGATACTAAAGGACAAAAGAATAACACAACAAATTGAAATAGAATTAAATAAAAGATTAGGAAGTAAAGATACAACACACGAAACAATAGAAGATGAATGGAGCCAAATTGAAGCAGAAATAGTAGAAACAGCAAAGAAATACATGGACACCACCGAACGAAGAAGTAGAAAGGAAGATTGGTATAATGAAGAATGTAAGAAAGCCTTGATAAGTAGAAACATTGCAAAAATAGGAAAACATCAAAAACCAACAAAGGAAGCAATAAAAGATTATGAAGGAAAAAGGAAAATAGCCAAATAAATATGCAGATGGAAAAAAAGAGAATATTTGAAGAAAAAAAAATTAATATAATAGAAAAACACTACCAAGAAGTCAGGAAGACAAGACAGACCACGAGCACGAGAACGGTATATTGCAGAAGCAAAGAAGGACAACTGATTGGAGACACAGTAGAAAAACTAGACAGATGGGCGGAATATTTTGAAGACCTACTAAATGACAAGACGGAGGAAGAACAACAGTCAAAAGTAGTGAAAATAAGAAGACAAGACGATAATGAAAAACAAGAAAAAATAGAAAAACCAACTAGACAAGAAGTGAGTAGAATGATACAAGAAATGAAAAGTCATAAAAGCCCCAGAGAAAATGGAATACCCGCAGAACTCTTGAAAATAGGAGCCGAACAACTTACCAAGACAATATATATGAGCTAATACTTAGAATATGGCAAGAGGAGATAACACCGAAAGGATGGAACAGCGCCATTATCGGCCCCATATTTAAAAAAGGAGACAAAACGGAATGTGAAAACTACAGAGGAATAGCCATACTTGATGTAGTTTATAAGATCTTAGCAAAAATCATAAGAACTAGATTGAGAGAATACACTACGCAAAGAATAGGAGAATATCAAAGGACGGTTTAGAGCAGGAAGATCAACCATAGATCAGATTTTTACTCTAAAAACGATCCAAAATAGCAGCTGTGGACAAAACCTAAGCCTGCACAACACACTTTAAGCAAGCCTACGATTCCATAGACCGAAACATGTTATACGAAGCAATGGAAAAGCTAGCAATACCAAGAAAATTGATAAGATTAGGTAAAATGACACTACAAAACACGAGCAACAAAACTATTTTGGAAGGAAACATGTCAAGAGGATTCTTGGTTAGAAAAGGACTACGACAAGGAGATCCAGTATCAACCGGCCTGTTTAATGTTGTACTAGAGGACATAATAAGGGAAAGCAGAATACAAACAAATGGATTAATATATCAAAAAAAAATTTTTTTCGGAGGGGTCAAAAGTACAGAAGGAGAATGGAGAAGGACAAACCAGGAAGTCATGAACCTGCATAGAAGACCGAGGATTACACAAAAGTCGACCACAAAGAATCAGATGGTTAGGACACATAACTAAAATGCAAGGACAAAGAATAGCAAAAAGAGTATTAGAAGAACGAAGGGGTGAGAAACGAAGAAGAGGACGCCCAAGAAAGAAATGACTAGAGGAGGTGCAGAAAGATCTGAAAGCAAATGGAGTGAAAAACTGGAAAAGTGTAGTCACAGACCGGAGAGATGGAAACAAATAGATGCTACCATAGAAGCCAAGGGCCTAGAGGGCCTGTAGCGCTAATATATACTCCTATGTACCACAACAGAGGGAGTATCTCTCTTTATGTCTTTGCAAAATGTTGTAACACAGAATTTAGATAGAACCTTACTGTGATTTTTTTGTGAACCCTTCCATTGCCAAAAAATTTCAAGAAAATTGGAATAACGTGGCAACGTAACATCGTAATTTCAAAAATTAACTGTGGTTGTAGAGCCTAAGAGGAGGTCAATCAAAATGTGTAAAGACATATAGGGTGTTTCATTAAAAAAAACTAAGTTTTGTGTTACGCTTTAAAAACATTTTGTAAAGTTAAAAAGAAATTTAGGATCCCTACATCTTTCGTCTTTAACTTTTTATAATTTCTAATAATAATTAATGAGATATTGAGGAACGCACCCTTAGTGACTCACTTGTATATAAACTAATTATATCCTGAAAATATTTAATTGCTAGTGAAATAAACCAAATGTTAGATTATACAAGTTGAAATTTTTACTGGATGTAATTTGGTTCATCTTTTGTCGATTTTATTATAGTCACGCTTTAAATTAAAGCATATTACTTAAAAAAAATTAAGATATTTGTCTATAATATTGTAGGCAGCCATATAAGAACAGACATTTAGCTGACGTTTCTGAATTTTGATTACTCGTTCGATTACTGGTTTTTAGTGACCGAAATTCGTCAATATAATAAAGTGAACTGAAACTGATTTATACTTATATAGAATACTTGTCTAATATTCCACCAAGTTTCACTTGCAAATCTCTGCTAGAAAACTCATTAACATGACCCAAAGTCAATAAAATGCAATTTTGGAATAACAACAGGATATTTTTGTTCGTCTTGTAAAGTAATTATGAATTCCCCACCGAGACGGTTAACAAAGAATTCAAATAACAAACAAACAATAAAATTCAACGATCTTCATACAGATAATACAGCTCATGAGATAGCATCAAGGCTAAATTATAAAAAAACCTTAAGTTAATTGTTCATTTTAAATTTTAGCACTTATTTTCGTAATTTTGTCAACCGCTCCACAGGTGTTTTTTTCTTTCCAATTCATCGACCATCAAATCGGCATGACATCGCGTTTAACATTCTCATTAATACGAGTTGGCACAACTAAAATCAATCCGATTCTGTCTTTATCTTAATTAGAAATGAGGAAAAAGTCAATTAATAATTTTCATGGTCTTTGAAACTATTGAATTACGCATCGATCGAAACCGCCTCCGAACGTGGGAAAACCTACTTTTCAACTTATTTTTATTTATTGTTACACGTCATCTCAACAACCCCTTTAAATTGAATTTATCGCTCCTCAATCTACGCAAACTCCGCCATCATTGATATTCTCCAGAAATCATCCCTTCCCAGTACACGCTCCATGAATCCCTGAAACTTTGCACAAAGTCTGCTTGTTGATAAACCAACCCTTCCTCACGTTCAATGTGCACTTTTCAGGTAATCAGTTCGCTCATCTCTTAATTTGCATTGAAGACAGTGCTAATTACCCAACTATGGACTCTCGAAATCTCTGCTACAATTTATCTGCGTCTCTTCTGAAGGTTACGTTACAATGAGTTTCAACACCTTGAGGAATTATTTAATAGAAAAGTGCATGGTACATTGCTATTTTCGAGGACATGAACACCACGGTAAGTAGTTTTTGTGTTTATGCTAAAATGTTGCCGAACTGTTAAGTTTGTTTCAGTTTTTGTACTAGAAATAAGATGATAGACCACATGCCTGGTTCAGTGTACAAAGTTGTTATTATTTGTGGGGTTTCGTTGATGTGCTTCATTCCTGTTCTATTCTACAACAAGCAAACACTCACGGAAAAAGGCTCTATATTTTTTACAGTGGACGACGATGATTTTTCGTTTAATAGTAGGCAGTTTTTTATTAGTAGTGATAGTTGCAAGTAACTCGTTGCACGTTTACGTTTTTATGGTCTACAACACGTGTGAAGTACCTACATTTTATCCGTAAGATCTGTTGTAATTATTCGCTTTTGATTCGTTCCGCAAACTTTCACACTTGTGTAAGATTGTATACCGAGAAAGTATATTTCGTTTAAAGAGAAACACGATTTCGCTTTTGAGATTTTAATAGATTGTTACGTTTTGGAGCTTTTAGCTTACAATTCTAAATGATGTTATTATAGTGCATATATTGCAAAATTTTAACAAATACTGAATCATTGAAGCAAATTCGTCACACCGTCCCCACTTAAAATTTTGCGGTCTCATATCTTGAGAATGGATGGAGACATTGAAATTCTGTAAACTCCATTGTTTTTAGCTTTTAATTTTGCAGTATATATTTTAACGGATTTTGATAGGCCATTAAATTACGGTTACAGTGACATACAACACTTGATATTTATTTTATTTCCAGTTGATAAAAAAAGAAACTAAGCTATAAAAAATGTACAGTGTGTTTGCAGGGAATCGCTCTAGCCAATTCATCAATAAAAATTGATAATAATGGTCGAACAGGCTAAACTGTTTTGCTCAGGTTCCATTTTTTGTTTTTGTTTTTGATTTCAAAAAGCCACTTCTTCCACACTAATTTTATTAAACTTTTTTTACTTGTGATATTCTTTTATTTTTAACATTTGTTTTTCTTGGTTATTTTATATATCTTTTTTACTTCCGATATGTTGGTACGTCTGTTAAAATTGTCAACTTTAGTTTTAAAGAATACTTCAGAAGAAGAATAATAATAATAACGAAAAAGTGTTTTGTGGGAAAACTCAGCTATGACAATTTGAAAATCATAACATTTTGATTTTTTTATAAACACTCTGTATAATAATTAATAAAGCTCAACTTCATTGACGTTTTAACAAAACAAAAGCTTTTGTTTATCTATTACTAAAATATTGTAACATAAGGGTAAAAAAAGCGTACTGATTTTTATTGATTGAATTGAAATTGTGTACGCCTACCGACTCTCGACTTTTACGTTTTTTCGATCTTTCATGACCCATACAGTACGAAGAAATAGGTCCCCCGTTTCCATCTGTCTGTCTGCCTGTTTGTCCGTCTGTGTGTCTGTCCGTCTGTCTGCTGTCTCGATTTTTGTTAGACAGATAATTTCCGATTGTTGTCAAATTTTGTATTTAGTAATAAAACGCTAACCAAAATTTGTTTAATCATCCCCACCAATAATGTGTCACTTCAAAATTGTATATAGTAAATGGATTTTTAATTGTATAAAAGAACATAGTGTTATAGGTACATGTAGTTTATGACGCCGTGTTGAGTTTTTAGCTGAAACGTCCAGGTTTTTAAGAAAAAAAATCAAAATTATATAACAACATCTTGCAACTTGTTTTGAAATCTTGCAGGTGTTTTAAATTATGATAACCATGACAAATTTTTAATCAAAATATATTTGCTTATCCCCTCTAAAAAATTGATGACGTCAGCTCAAAATTTTGCCGAATCTAAAATGTCCAAAATAAGTTTGTACTTGTAATTTATCATTCCAGTAATATTTTTTGGATTTGCTTATACAGGGTAAAATCATGAATGCGTGAATTTATTTTATTGATTTAATTAGGAACTGCAAAACCGAATGCTTTGAAATCTTGGAGATATTTTAAAGTTATCATAAGCATGGTAAATTTTTAATCAAAATGTATTTGCTCATTCCCCTAAAAAAATAATGACGTCATCTCAGAATATTGTTAAATAAATCCTGTCTTAAATGTGCACACTATGATGAGTCTACACTTTAGATTTGGCTATATCGGGTCTCTCAAAAAAAATAATGACTGAATCAGTTTATTTTATTGATTAAATCAAGAATTACAAATCTTGCATCTGTTTATCAACCCCAAAAAATTGATGACGGCATCTCAAAATTTTGCCGAATAAATCCTATCTAAAATATGCAAAATATGATCAGCCAATACAGTAATTTATTATTTCATTCATATTTTCTAGATATACTTATACAGGGTGACTCAAAAAAATTAATGAATAAGTCAATTTATTTTATTGAACAAATCAAGAATTGCAAAACTGAATACATACCTTGAAATCTTGCAGGTGTCTTAAAGTTATTGTAAGCATGGTAAATTGTTAATCAAAATATATTTGCTTTTTCCTCTCCAAAAAAATTAATGACGTCATCTCAAAATTTTGCCGAATAAATTCTACTCAAAATGTGCAAAATATGATGAGTTTTTACATATGATTTATCATTACATTAATATTTTTTCAATTTTCTTAAACAGGTGGCTCAAAAAAATTAATGAATGAGTCAGTTTATTTTATTGATTTAATCAGGAACGGTTCACTCCATTTTGCCAGAAAATTTTGGAAATACAATACTGTTACTTTTAGTATTACTTTGCACCCATCCAAGTTGATATACGTGTCCTTGCAAAAATGTTGATCATAAAATTGTGTAAAGAAAACACTTAACTCGAAAATTTTGAATATGTTTTACTTCAGGAGCGAGGGAAGTTCTGTCCAAACAACTTTCGACCAATTTTTTTAATTGGTCGAAACGTTACATTGAAATTTCAAAAATTAAATTTGCACGTAAAATAACTACCTCGTATGTTGCGCTTCAAAACAAAAAATTATGTATAGTTGGAAGTAATTTTTGGTTACGCAGCTCGAAAAGCCATAAAATTTTGGTTCCCTACTTCTGTTCTATAATATCTGGAAAGCTCGGAAAACGGTAAAAAAATTCATACAATTGAGAAATTGAGATTTTTGAAAAGTTGCCTTAAAACTCTCAAAAAATTTGGAATATAAATTTCAACGGGGTAATTTCCAAAAAATTAAATTGTTAATAGTTCTTGACCAAAATTTTCGAAAAATTCGTTTTAAATATCACGAAAGCTCGAAAAAATTCCAAAATTCATACATGGGCAGTTAAAAAATTGAGATTTTTGAAAAGTGGGCTAAAAGTTCTGAATAAATTCTAGTATATACTCGTAGATCTCGACAAGCTGATTCGAAAAACATTAGGTATTAATTATCCTTGCTTAAGATTTTCGAAAGATTCGGTTCGAGATTTTTTAAAATATCACGAAAGCTCAAAGAAGGTCAAAAAATTCATATGGGGCCGTATTGAAAAATTGAAATTTTTGAAAAAATGCATAAAAGTGTTCAAAAAAACTCGAGAACTATAAAAAAGATCACGTATTGGTCCACTCCGTACACTAAAAAAAAATTAGAAAATGAAATATATAAATCAACAACATCATGAGTTTAACTACATCGATCAGAAATGGTGAAATTTGTGTCTGAAATGTGACTCGTCAAATTTGCTATAATTTTTTATCGCTATCTTTTCCTTTTTTCACTCTTAAAATTGTTCAAAAAATATTCCAAAATAAATTTGCAAATTCTATTTAGATTGGTTTACTTGTGTTTAAGTGAAAAAAGAAAATGGTCCAAGGTATTAGACAGAACTTTCATCGCTCCTGAAATACAGCTCAACAAATTCAGCATTTTCACAAAATGATCAAATTCGATTTTGTAATTAATTTTGTTTTACGATAACCTCTACACAGCAAAATAAATAATAATTATATTAATATATTATGTATTAATATAATAAATAAGTGCAGTGGAATACTATTAATAACAGCACTATATTCTCAAATTTTTGAGAAAATGGGGTGAACCATTCTTTATTTGATCAATAAAATAAGTTGTTCCGTTCATAAATTTTTTGAGTCGCCCTGCATAAGCAATTTTAAATTAGTAGTGCGACCTGCAGAGCCCACAAACATTCTATAATAAAATTAAAATTACGGCTTTAGTTGCTTTTAAAATACGGCGTTCAAATTTATAAGCTTCAGAGTTCCGAATTTACAGAGTATGACATTCAAAATGTATAAAGTACGGCGTTTGTCCACACTGCTAATATGTATAAGTATATACATAATATAAATTTTGCTTGTGTTTTGAAAAGTTGACGTCAGTTTCTGTGGATACTCTTTAAAATTGTAAACCACTGTGTAAACAAAAACATATGAGGTGTAATTCACGCAACTCAATGAATAAAAATATTTTCAAGAATTGAATGTTGAAACCAAGTAAACAAAACCAAATTAATTAAGCAGTAATTCGGTGAAACGTAAAGTTTTTATTTTCTATTTTATTAGTAAGAATCGTTTCAGTCAATGCTAACGTACATAAACGCTAATTTTATTTTCTTTCTGTTATCAACATTTAACTATAATTATTTTTAATTATCGTTATTATTAAGAAAAAAAATTCTTTATAGATTTATTATCGAAACAGTGATATTTCAACAAGAATTCACCGTTTCTTTAAGTGGTGCGTCATATACGTTATGTTGTCAACAATGAGTGCACGAGATGAATATTTACAATAAACGTGTTGACAGTGGTATTAATTAGTCTTATTGTGTTGTTAATTAAATATTATGTTATTATTTTTAAGACGGTGCACTGGAAAAAAACAAGTTTTTCGATTACAAACAATGGGCAACCATACAATACAACCGATATTCTTTACACCTGATATCTCAACTACTTTAAACAAGACAACTCCTCGCATAAAAAACCCTTAGGTACAATAACGAATATAGAAACTATTCTTTTTGAAATTAGAGGCCAAATTTCAAAAGACATTGTTTCTCATAAGAAAATATTAAGAGAAAATTACTAAGGAACAGATTAAAAAGTTACATCGGTTATAAAAAATTAATGCTACTTAAAAATAAACTCAACACACTGTCACTGCAAGTTAGCTAAACACAAAATAATTTAAATATTTGTATTGTTTTACTGCTGTTACTTTTGTTGTTGAACAATCAATTTACTATTTTTAAATGATGTGTCACAAGATTTTGATTTTTATCAGGTTAAGTAGTTTAGCTTTTGAACTAATAACCTTCAGGGTTCGTGCGGAGCATGCCTTACTAGACTTATTCAAGAATGGTAAGAAGTGTTTTTACTAGATACGATAAATAACAAACTCATTTATGCCATTATCAACATAATAATTAAACTCATTAAGCCAATAAATTGTTAAAAAGTGGTCATTTTGATGTTTATGATTCAAAAGCGACAATTTTTCCGTTTCTTAGTGTTTATAAAATTTAAGTACCAACCTGTGAGAGCCGATATATTTATAACAAGAATACCACCAATAAAAACTAAACGTGCTATTATTACGAGTTATTGCAAAATAATTAAATTTTTAGAAGCTTTTGTAAGCTTCGTCACTTGAAAGCCTTGTGTTTCAGATTCCAAATATTTAGTTTCTACTCCCAAATGCAAAATCCCCGACTTAGACCCGTTCGACCCGAAAGTTCGCAAGTTCTACCATCCCGAAAAGTACACCCCTTGTAGCAAACAAATCTTGTTAACTTATGTGACGAAAATCGACAATATCGCAACTCTCCACATTGACTCCGACGTAGTTCCGTCCTATACGAAAAACAACTTCTCCTGTTGCTACTCCAACATCACTCGCCAAGAAAACAAGAACAACCCAGACGACAACATCAAGTATTTTCGCCTTTACTACTTACAATAACTACACGTTTAACTGTAAATTTTGGACACACGTTGTCCCTGCTTCAAAATTCATAACAAAAATAGTTTATAATAATAATCTGGATTATTATAAGTTTCAGCACTAACACAGTCTCGTTCCAGAATCACCCCATGCGTCGCCTTTAAAGACAACGTAACCATCCACAACTTCGTCATGGTCAAATGCAAAGACATAAAAACCGGGAAGAGAATCTACGAAAACACACATGCAGTGATAACAATGAAGAAAGAAGTGAAAAGGAAAATGGACGTGTTTAACAATAACACCATTAACCCCTTCAGTGTGTTGTTTGTTGGTATTGATAGCATATCCAGACTTAATCTTTTAAGAAGTTTGCCCCTAACACACCAAATTTTGGTGGATAATGAATGGCTGCCTCTGAAAGGTTACAACAAGATTGGAGATAATACTTTTCCTAATGTGATGGCAATTTTGACTGGGTTCAACGAGAGTTATGCTTACTCCAAATGCGATCCCAAAAAGTTGAATAAGTTAGATCATTGTCCTATGATTTGGTTCGATTTTAAGAAGTTGAATTACATCACTGGGTACGCTGAAGACGAAGCTTGGATTAACACGTTCAATTATAAGAAGAAGGGGTTTACGGAGCCTCCGACGGATTATTACTTCAGACCTTACATTCAAGGATCTGAGAAATTAAAAATGGTGAATTTTTAAATATACTAATAAATTTGTTCAAAGGTCTGTTTGAATTATTTAGTAGGGTATAATTTGGTGTAGTAAGTAACATAATAAAAAATTGTTTGCAGATAAGAAAGAACGAAATGAACTACTGTACAGGTCCTGAAACGGCCGGGGAAAGAATCTTGAACATAGCAAGAGATTTCGTTCTCACCTTCCGAGATTATCCCACCTTTTCCTTCTTTTGGATGAACACCTTCAGTCACAACGACATAAATTCTCCAACTGGAATGGATTCCAAAATTAAACATTTCTTGGACGAGGTGAGTTCGAGCGGTGTTTTAGACAACACCTTCGTGATTTTTCTAAGCGACCATGGGATGAGATTCGGGGAGATCCGTTACATGCCCATCGGATGGCTAGAGGAGCGGTTACCTTTCATCTACATATCCGTGCCAGAGCGCTTCAAGAGACAGTTTCCTGTCGAATATAGAAACTTGGAGGAAAAACGCCACCATTTGACGAATCCATACGATCTACACATGACTCTACAACATATCTTGGTGTTATCAGGGTTTAATTATACGATGCGAACCAGCACAGCTTGTCCAAAGTGCAAGTCTTTGTTCAAGGACACCGATTTTGAGAGGTCCTGCGAAGATGCAGCCATCGAGCAGCACTGGTGCACTTGTGCTGGTTACAGTCCTATCAGTCCAAACAACAGGACGGTTTTAGACGCATCAGAATATATCATAAGCCAAATACAAGAAATCATTCATGCCAAACGTAGTGATTCTAAATGTGCCAAATATAATGTAAACAAAATAATCGCTTCTAGTATTTCGGAAACTTTTACTTACAAGAACGATACATACTTTTTACTGGTGATTGAAACACAGCCAAAGGCCGTTTTTGAAGCCACAGTTTTGTATAAAAATGAAACCAAGGACGAGTTCTTGCTGCAAGGAGGGATCAGCAGACTCGACAGATACAGTTGGCACAGTCGATGTACGGATGATGCTTATTTGAAGAAATTTTGTTACTGCCGGTAATCATTGGTTCAAGTGCCTCAAGATTTTTATTTATTTATTTTTATCAAAAATTCAACGAATGTAGCAACTAGAGTAGAAGTTTTTGTTGTAAAACATTTATGTTAAATTACGGAAATTTAGTTTGAATTTTACGTTCAAACAAAGTGCAGCAATACTATTTAGCAAATGATTTTGTTTTTATAAAACAGTTATTTTTACACTCGTTTTAACGAGATTTATCAGTATATTGTTTCCGTATTGTATGAAAATCAAAATAACATGTGATATTATTGCATTTGGTACAATAAATATTTTCTAGTCAATGCATTTTCTTGAATGAATGTCATTATTTTACTATATTTTATAATGTGTCTTAGGTTATTGCTAATATATGCTCATACAACAATCACACCATTATATTTAAATAAATTAATTTTTAAATAAAGTGCTGTTTTTAATTTTTGTGTTTAGTTTAATGAAATCATGTTCACAAAATCGATTCGTCATAGTAGAAAATTATCTACATTTCAAATTAAAAAATAAAAAATTCATAAGTAATAATGTGCCCGATAGAATTAGGAACGCAAGAAGGGAAGCTATTATATGTATATAGGGCCCCACACGGAGACCTTCTGGTCTAAAGGAGTCCTGAGCTTTTAATAAACCCCAGGATACAAATTATAGGCACATCTCGAATATCATGTCACTCCAGAATTTGGAAGTCGATGTGTTTTCCCTAATCCATCCAAATTTTATATGTGCTATCAAAAACCAGGTCGATGGTCCACATATATTTGTTTCTGGTGAACAGCCCCAGTACAAGTATGAGATCTTTTCGCCAGAGTCTCAGTAGCTCTTCAATGTGTTTCTTATTAAGTCCTTCTATGAACACGAACAGCCCTGAGTTTCAAGGTCCGCCTTTGTTGGACGCTTTTAGAAACTAGTAAAGCCGGCTCCCTATCTACAAAGCTCCTTCAGAGCCCTGTGTTCCTAGAGTATTGGTCCATTTATTTCCTTTATGGGCCATGTGTCCAGGTATCCAACTGAACTCAACTTTTTTATCGTGCGTTTTGAAGGTAAACGAAGAAAAATGTTGCTGCCTGGGTGGAATCGAACCACACGTCACCCGCTTGCCGGGCAGGTATCCTGACCACTAGACCACGAGGCCGCTTATTTTTCTCCGCTTATCAACGTGTGCCGCCACAGTACTCTTTTGTAATAGGTGCAATGACCTCGTATAAGAAAGTAGTTTTTTCTTCCGTTACTTTTACTTGTTGGACTCTGTTTGGCAGACGCAAGATCCTTACAGAAATTCCAATTTGACGCTCTTGGACCTCTAATTAAGTTGCTAACTTCTTCTAATGCCAGTTCGCATTGCATTCTACGACGAGAGGTAGGATCCCTTAATCTTGCTAAAATCTATTATTACTAGAGGCGGCTTGTCCTATGAGGCAGGTGAGGCAATGCCTCAGCAATGAATTTGCGCCATATTATTATTTTTATTATTTCTGACCGATACATTTCTAGCCAACAAAAAGTTTTTTTTCTAATATTTTAAAAATAAATGTGTAAAATTATGTTATTCATACCGTGGTAGATGGATATTAGCTGTTTCGAAGAATTCAGAAGAATCTAGAAAAACAAGGAAATCTGAGACTCAATATCAAAAAAATCTGAAAGAATCTGAGAGAATTTAATTTTTTTTTTCAAATTCTTTGGATCCTTTCTGATTCTCTCTTTCGAATTTTTCACATTTTTCGAATTTTTTCAGATTTCTTCGAATTTTTGAGGTTCTTTCAAATACACCATCAGAAATCCTCAAGATTCTTTAAAATTTTTCATTTCTGTTCAGATTGTTTAAAATCCTTATAAATCCTTTCAGATTCCTGGAGATTCTTCCAGATTTATTTAGATTCTTTTAGATTTTGTTAGATTTTTCGAGATTCTATCCCATTCCTTGCCAGGAATCTAAGGGAATCTCGAAGAATCTTGAAAAATCTAGAAGAATCTAAAAAAAACTGGAAGAATCTGGAAGAATCTGAAAGGGTCTGAACATCTGTATAGAACTGAAAATTTTGGAAAAATTTTGAGGATTCCTGACGGTGGCTTTGAAAGAATCTGAAAGAGAGAATCAGAAAAAAAATGAAAGAATTTGGAGAAATTTGAAAGAATCTGAGAAAAATTGGTAAATTCGAAAAGAATTTGTGAGAACTTGAGAGGATCTCGAAGAATCTAGAAAAATCTAGAAGAACTTAGAAGAGTCTTTAAGGATCTGAAAGTATCTGTAAGGTTCTAAAACGATCTGAATAGAACTGGAAAAAAATCGAAAGATTGTGAAACAACCCGACAGCATCCAAAACCATACGGAACGAAGAATCTTTAAAAAAATGAAAGAATCTGAAAACACCACAAGAATCTGGAAGAATAAGTTAGAAAGAATCAGAGGGGATCGGAAATAATCTCAAGGGACGAATCTAGGTAAACCTGGAAGAATCTGGAACAGTCTGCAGGGATCTGGAAGGATTCAAAGCGATCTTGAAAAATTTGAGAGGACCTGAAACGTTTTGTAAAGATCTGAAAAATTGTGAGGAAATCTGAGGGAATTTTGAGGGAATTGAGATAATCTATATTAATAAAAATGAATCGCCGAAATGTATGTACGCTCATAACTTCAGAACGACTGCACCGAATTGGACGATTCTTTTTTTTTACGTGTTCCTTATTGTCAGGACAAGGTTTATATGTAAGAAAATTTATAAAAAATGAAACGGCTAAAAGATAAAAATTTTTTAAAAATTTTGCATGGGAATCGCCACTTCGAATGAATTTGAATAGCTGGCGTTCTTGACGGACCTGTCGTCTAACTGACGTGTCACACAAAACTATTTCTTCCGTGCGATTGTGAAAAGTATTATTGCATTTCAAGTCGTTGTTTGTTTTTTCGTAACAAAAAACGTCGTTTATTTTAAGAAAAGTCTTGGTTAAAGTGAATTTAGTTACACATTGCGAAAGTTTCTTAGGGGGAGATTCTCGAAACTCGATAAGGCCTTGCAAGGATCTGCAAATCCAAAACCATAGCAACATGTATTGTTGTTGCATTGTATTTGCAGTTTCGATAGCGATTTGCAAATTATCGGAGTTTCCAGAATCTCCCCCTTATTAATTTTGATCTGCCATTCTATTTACCTATGTTCACTTTGATGGTTTCGACAAAACCTCAACCTTTACCGTTATTTGAGAATTTAATTTGAAGTTTTTAATATTTTAAAATTCTCAAGACAAAATTTACAGATTTGATTGACTGTGAAAATAATTCTGTGTCGTTTTATGAAGTTCATTATAATGCCGAGAAGACGACAAGCTGACATAAGTCCACGAAGTCAATCAAATGTGCGACGAACTACCTAAGGTGCAAATCGCGATGATTTATTTCATGGGTAATTCGGATACGGAAGTTGGTCAGCGTTGTGCTCATAATCAACATAATCAAACATTGAAGCGAGACATTGGACGGTATGAATAAAACTGAGTAGATACTCATATTCGAAGTACAAAGTACCTACTTCATTATTACTCTTATATACCTGAGCATCTACCCGATGTACTGTGTATCTATCTACTTGCAAACATTGTATCTCCCCGGACACAAATTGAACATTTACGCGTTTTGTGAGCATTTAATCTAAAAATGAGCATCGGCGTGGCAAATGACTATTTGTCCTTATAAATAATAAATTAAATGTAATATATTTTTTTTTCCTTAAGAATATAGAGTTAACAAAGTTAGTTGAGTTACAAAAGTCTCTTTTGCTCCACGTTGGCCACCAACGAGCGATTTTCATGATTTTTGTGAAACTTTGCTGGTTTTGATTTTGAATTTTCTGTCCTCGATAGTTGATGCTCAGCAAGAACCACGGGAAGGTCTGGAGCAGATCTCGCTAGGAAAGGAGAGGGCTAGGAATTGTTAATGAGGGATAGAACGTTATACAGTACAATACAACGGAAATACAATACAGGTACCTACAATCTAGCTACAATACAGAATACACTACAGATACAGATACAATTCAGATACAATACAAATGCAAAGTTAGTACCCAATACACCACCGGAAGAAATTGCACCAAAAATTGAGAATGTTGCAAAATGAAAACCCAAGCAAGCACAGCGATGGAACTCGGGACGAAATCTATTGGTCGCAGCGCTCACACGCCCAAGGGAGAACGCAGCCGCATAAATCCAAGGTCGTCTTACCTCATTCTCAAAGAACGATGCAACCCAGCGTCTAAGGGCCAAAAGAATCCCCCCAGGCCAAAGCGTCTGACGACATGGAGAATTCAAACCCGGAACCAAAGAATGCACTGTTGCAAAATTAATACCCAAGCAAGCACACCGATGGAACTCGAAACGAAATCTATAGGTCGCAGCGCTCACACGCCCAAGGGAGAACGCCGCCGCATAGATACAGGGCCGACTGACCTCATCCGTTTAGGATGATGAACCTCATCCGTTTAGGATGATGACCCAGCGTCTAAGGGCCAAGAGAACCCCCCCAGGCCAGAGCGTCTGACGACATGGAGAATTCAGTCTCGGAACCAAAGAATGCACTGTTGCAAAATTAAAACCCAAGCAAATGCACCGTGAAAACAAAGCATTTGCACCACTGGAGCTAAATTGGCAAGACCCAAGTTAAGTTACTAACACATACAATATACAGTATAAAATGCTTCAATTACAAAAGTTACAATATACAAATTTCTCCACGTTTGCCGCCAAAGAGCGATGACTGTGCTCACTCGTTGCTGTTGCCCAGCAAGAACCAAACAATACGAGGAGGTCTGGAGTGCGTCTTGCCATTAAAAGAGAGGACTAGGGTTTGATAGCATGGGTAAAGGACACCGTATTTTGTAAATTTGGACGCCGTAGTTTAAAAATGATGCATACCGTATTTTGTGAATTATGAACGCTCTGCACTTTGTATATTCCAAAGCCGTACTTTATCAGTCCTGAATGCATGTTATTAACAACATATTTCAAAAAAAATCGGGCATTTTTGGAAAAATATCCACTTTCCTTCGTGTTCACAGCACGTAACACAAAACATTTTCGTTAATATTTATTAACAATAAATTAGAAATTCGCGAACACGTGCTACTATTAAGCCAAAACGGAGCTCCAGTGTTGCTGCTACCAGACCGGAATTAAAACTAAACACAGAGGATGGAAAACTTGACCTTTTATCAGGTAGCTCACGTGACAGAGACGTCATCGTACGTCACGATGAGATTGCAAAAATTATTTTTCATATTTTAGATCAGAAATTGTACATT